AAAATAGCGAGGTGTTGTGGTGGGCACCTGTAGTCCCAGCTACTTGGGAGGCTGAGGCAAGAGAATTGCTTAAGCCCAAGAGTTTGAGATTGCTGAGAGCTATGATGCCATAGCACTCTAGCGAGGGTGATCTAGTGAGACTTTGTCTCAAAAAAAAAAAAAAAAATCTCACTGGGTTACCCTCAGTAGAATGCCATAGCATCTTAGCTCACAGCAACCTCAAACTCTTGGGTTCGAGAGTAGCTGCGGCTATGCTCTTGCCTCAGCCTCCCACAGCATCTGGCTATTTTTCAAAGATGAAGTTTTGCTTTTGTTCCGGCTGGTCTCAAACTTTTGAGCTCAGGCAATCCACCCACCTCGGCCTCTCAAGTGCTGGGATTATAGGCGTGAGCCACTGTGTCTGGCCTTTTTTTTTTTGATACAGAGTTTCACTTTGTCACCCTCTAGAGAGTACTATGGCATCATAGCTCACAGCAACCTCAAACTCCTGGGCTCAAGTAATCCCTTTGTCTCAGCCTCCCCAGTAGCTGGGACTACAGGTGCCTACCACAACGCCTGGCTGTTTCTAGAAACCGTGTTTCACTCTGCTTAGGATGGTCTCAAACGCAAGAGCTCAGTAAATCCACTCTGTCTTGGCCTTACAGGGTGCTAGGATTATAGACATGAGCCATTGTGCCCAGCCTCCAGGCCTTCTGTTTTTTAGATGAGGAAACCAATGACCAAAAAAATTGAAATAATTTTTTCAAAGCCATATACTTTATGAATCACAGATTATGAATACAGATTTTCTTTATTGCTTCTGGCTTCTTCTAGGCCTCTTTGGAGGCAGCTGCCTTGCTGGCTGAGCCTTTGGCAAGAAGGTCCTAGGCAGGATGTGGGGGGGGGGGAGGAGGTGGTCCCTAGGGCTCCAGGGCAGGACGTGAGCCTCAGATGGGGTCAGGGTGTAGAAACAGGCCATTCTGATGGGTACCGTGCTTGGTAGGCTGTACTGGAAAGCAAGTGGCCGTCTGGCACACCAGGTGGGCGCCTGCGCTGGGCCAAGCTCCGGAATGTTGTGCTGGGGGCTGCTCAGTTCCGTCAGCCCTTGCGAGAACGGCGGCAACAGCAACAGCAGCAGAAGGCATCAGCTCGACAGGAGGCAGGCAGCTCCCAGACAGGTGGGTAGGGCTTGTGAGTCAGGCTTGGGAATAGAGCAGCCAGGCTCAGCAGGGAGAGGTTTGGAGAGCTAGGGTTGTCCTTGTGGTTGGCATTGAGTTTTGGGGAATTAATAAATGACATTGAGCTGGTAACCCTAGGATAAAGTTCTGCCTAAGAGGAGCCCTGCAAACCCAGGTCCACCCAAGGAGCTCTGCTTTAGTACAGGGGGCTAACTTTCTATTTGGCTATCCCTAAATCCCTTCTTCGTTTTCTACAGACTCTTATCTGGAACGTCCTTCTCCCAGCCGCCCCCTTCATCGTCAGACAACTTGGGCTGGGCGAAGTCTCCGGGACCCAGCTTTACCCACTGGGCGCCTGGTGAAGAGTGGCAGCCTGGGGAGTGCCCGAGGGGCCCAGCCCACTGTAGAGGCCGGTGTGGCCCACAGTGAGTGCCCCAGTCTGAGCCTTAGCCCCAGGCAGCTTTTCTTTTTTTCTTTGCAGTTTCTGGCTGGGGCTGGATTTGTACCCGCCACCTCTGGTATATAGGGCTGGCTCCCTACCCTTAAGGAGCCACAGACACCGCCCCAGGCAGCTTTTCTAACCACCTGCCAGTAAGAGACAGGGTGAGGGCGGCCCTCTATGGCAGGTGCTGCAGACTGAAGGCGTCTTTCCCAGTGCGCTCTCCTGGTGGCGCTGTGGTGCCAGAGTTTGTATAGCCAGGAATTGTGTTTGCTTGGGTAAAGGGGAAGCTGGGGGGCAGGCTGAGCTGTGTCTTCCCTGGTTCTTTTCTGTCCTGCAGTGATAGAGGCCTTGGGGGTCCTGGAACCCCGGGGATCACCTTTGCCCTGGCACGATGGAAGTCTTTCAGACCTAAGCCTGACAGGGGAGGAGCCAGCACCAGGAGGCAGCCCAGGGGGCTCAGGCTCAGCCTTGACTGCCCAGTCCACTGAGGCCCTGGAAGAGCTAAGTGGGCAGGGGCCCAAGTCTGGTGGGCATCAGGATGAGGCTGGTACCCCCCGACGAGGGCTGGGTGCCCGCCTCCAACAACTGCTCACCCCTTCCCGCCGTTCCCCTGCCTCTCGTGTTCCCCCACCTGAACTGCCCACTGACCTACCTCCCCCAGCCCGCCGCAGCCCCATGGACAGCCTTCTGCACCCCAGGGAGCGTCCTGGATCCACTGCCTCTGAGGTAGCCAGCTTGTGGGGCGGTCCAGCTGCCTTACTGTAAGGGGGATTGGGAGGAGCTGCTAACTGGAGAATACCCAAAGGGGTGCCCCGAGGGGTAGTTGAAACAACCACCCCAGGTGGAGGAGCAGGGCCAACTGACCATGCTTCCTCATGTGATGGCAGAGCTCAGCCTCTCTGGGCAGTGAGTGGGACCTCTCAGAATCTTCTCTCAGCAGCCTGAGCCTTCGCCATTCCTCAGAACGCCTCAGTGACACCCCTGGGTCCTTCCAGTCCCCTTCCCTGGAAGTAAGGATCACTTTCCCACACAGATGTCTTGAACATACACACACACTACACAGTCCATCTGTTGGCCTGGGGAGGGAGGGGGCTTCAGAATGCTGGAGGCCACACCAGCCTGCTTCCTGGGCCTCTCTGCCTATAGATTCTGCTGTCGAGTTGCTCCCTGTGCCGAGCCTGTGACTCACTGGTGTACGATGAGGAGATCATGGCTGGCTGGGCACCTGATGACTCCAACCTCAACACCACCTGCCCCTTCTGCGCCTGCCCCTTTGTACCCCTGCTCAGTGTCCAGACCCGTGACTCCCGGCCCAGGTGCCTAAGGCAGGGAAGTGCTGCTGAAGGGGGTACAGGGAAGTGGATGTCCAGCAGCTAACCCCTCCTGCTGTCCCGCTGTAGTGCCTCCAGCCCCAAGCCTCCCCTGGCTGGTGACAGTGGCAACAAAGATGCTCCTGTGCCTGGGGGTCCTGGCCCTGTACTCAGTGACCGCAGGCTCTGCCTTGCTCTAGATGAGCCCCAGCTCTGCAACGGGCACTTAGGGGTAAGGGCTGGCTGGAGGGCTATGAGGAATGGGAGTTGTTTCCCTGTGTAGGAGTCTGGGGAGTGCCAGGGAGAAATGGGCATTGAGGACACGGGGCATCCCAGAAATTGGACATGGTGGTCAGTGGGAGGCAAGCTCTGGGATGGTGCCCAGCACATGCACTCCATTGCCCTCCCCTTGGTGCCTGACAGGGTACTTCCCGGCGGGTTGAAAGTGGGGCATGGGCATACCTGAGCCCCCTGGTGCTGCGCAAGGAGCTGGAGTCACTGGTCGAGAATGAGGGTAGTGAGGTGCTGGCTTTGCCTGAGCTGCCTGCTGCCCACCCCATCATCTTCTGGAACCTTCTGTGGTATTTCCAACGGCTGCGCCTACCCAGTATTCTACCAGGCTTGGTGCTGGCCTCCTGTGATGGGCCCCCACTCCCTCAGGTCAGCACCTGTGTGGTCCCTAGTTCCTAAATTCATCCATTCTTATCTCTTTACTCTGTCCTTAGTGCCGTGTGTCCTTGTCATACCTGGTTTGACTACTGGCATCTTCACTTTATAACTCTGATCCTCAATTTTGTCATCTGTAAAATACATAAGCATGCACCTTACAGGGCTGACATTTACACACCTTGTATGGTGTGGGATACCCAGAAAATGATTCACTAATATTTGTTTCATTCCACCAATATTTACTGAGCACCTTTAAATCCTAGGCACAGGTTGTAGGAATGAGGAATATAGCATGTTACAAAACAAAGTTCTTGCTCTCCAGAGCTTACGTTCTTTTTTTTTTTTTTTTGAGACAGTCTCAAGTTGTCACCCTGGGTAGAGTGCTGTGGCGTCATAGCAACCTCCAACTCAGGCTCAAGCAATCCTCTTACCTCAATTTTTCTATTTCTAGTAGAGATAGGGGGGGTCTCACTTTTTGCTCAGGTTGGTCTTGAACTCCTGAGCAATCCACCCACCTCGTCCTCCCAGAGTGCTGGAATTATAGGCATGAGCCACCATTCCTGGCAAGAGCTAACATTGTTGTGGGGGTTAAGAGTTCCTTTCTTTCTGGTCTTTGGCTATGTCCTGTATTGTCCCTCCGTCTCCTGGATACTGCCTGTCCATTTCTTGTCCTCTGACTCCCATTCTGTGAGCCTGACTATCTCCCCTCTCTTGCCCCACCCCCAGGGTCCATCTCCTTGGCTAACCCCTGATCCAGCCTCTGTGCAGGTACGACTGCTCTGGGATGTATTGACCCCTGACCCCAATAGCTGCCCACCTCTCTATGTGCTCTGGAGGGTCCACAGTGAGTCTGGTATTTGGCCTATGGTGTGGTGGTGGTGGGGTGCCACGCCTAGAGGGCTCAGTGACCTGGCAGGCTTTCTTCCTTTCACCTAGGCCAGATTCCCCAGCGGGTTGCATGGCCAGGCCCAGTACCTGCATCCCTTACTTTGGCGTTGCTGGAGGCTGTGCTGCGCCATGTGGGACTCAATGAAGTACACAAAGCCGTGGGGCTCCTGCTGGAAACTCTAGGGCCCCCTCCCACTGGCCTGCACCTGCAGAGGTAGTATGCTTTCTCTGGGTGGCCCTGTCTGCCCAGGGCTCTGCATTCCTTTTCTCTCACACTATCTGCTCCCACTATAGGGGCATCTACCGAGAGATCTTATTCCTGACAATGGCTGCTCTGGGCAAGGACCATGTGGACATAGGTGAAGGAGCAAGCAGGGTGCTGAGGAATTTAGGGATCTGGGGCCAGGTATGGGAGGCAGGGGTCCTAATGTATTAACTTCCACCCTCTTCTCTAGTTGCCTTTGATAAGAAATATAAGTCTGCATTTAACAAGCTGGCCAGCAGCATGGGCAAGGAGGAGCTGAGGCAGCGGCGGGCACAGATGCCCACTCCCAAGGCTATTGACTGCCGAAAATGTTTTGGCGTACCTCCAGAATGCTAGAGACCCATCAACGTCCCTCTCCACCCTGGAGAGGGAGAAAGGATCTGGATATAACCTGCTTCCCTGTTCCTTCAGAGTCGAAGCCCAGTGGCTGCATGTGGGAGCAGTAGGAAGAGGGACCTACTATGACCAAAAGTCGTGATTCCCCCATCTCCGTCCTGCCCAACTTATTCATACTGATGTTAGGGTGGCTGGGGGAGCTGGTACAGCTGTTTCTACCTTTTCCTATATCAGGAATTCCCCTTCAGGGCACCTACAGACCTTCACTGCCCTGGTCATTTTAGAAGTTTTTGTTTTAAAAAACAACTGGGAAGATAGAGAGCTGCTGAGCCTTTGCCCTGAGTGGAAACAGGAGACGTCATCCCCACTGGTGATGGCCCCTCTTCCCTGCATTGCTAAAGGAGCCCAAGGCTCTCCATGCCTTTCTACTTTAGTGTTTGTATGCTAAGTTATTTATTCTAGAGCCACAGCCCCCCCTTGCTTAGGAGGTTCTTATGGAGAGTAAGAAAGAGAAAGGAAATGGGTCTCCATGGCCCAGTGGTTTGTAGCTCCTTGAAAGTCATGCATTGGGAGCTAGAGGAGTCCCGAGCTTCCCTTAGGAAAAATTGGTGTCCCCTCCTGTCCTGACCCTTGTCCACCCTACGTAAGGGAATGCCTCACTCACCCAGGTCCCAACCTGTGCAATAAGGATTGTTCCCTGTTTTTGTTGGACGTAAATATAGTAAAAGCTACTTCTTTTTCCTTCTGGCTCCTCTTCTTGGATCTGGGATAATGGTGGAGGATACCTCTCATTTTCCCTGCTTACACACCCTCCTTTGCATCTTTCCATCCTTTGCAGGCTTCAGGTATACCCTGCTTTCCCCAACCATGTCTGGTACTGGCCACCTGAGGCACAGGGAGTTCTCAAAGCAGGCCAGGAGTAAATCTGGTGCTGGCTATGGTGGTGCCAGTCTGTGTGGCATTTCCGGCCTTCCTATACAATCACCCCCTTGTACCTCATCTGTACCCCACACAAAGACTCCATTCTCTGGGTGCCCTGAGCTCATCACTGCCTTATTTCCTCTCCCTTATGCCCCCCTCTCAACTTCTTCAGTACCTCCACAGGGATGACAACCCTCTCTCCAGCAGTTAGTATTGGCAGCCCTTATGCATCCTGAGGGCCCTGGCCATCATCTTAGGCCCCCTTAGTTGCTCTAGTTACAGGAAGTATTCCTCCAACCAGGGTTTCAGCCTGGGGACAGCACCAGGAAAATAGGGGCACAGATTAAGGGGGTCACTGCACGTGGACATTAGGAAGACAGGCATAATTTTTCTAATCCTTTTGGCTCACTCGGAGTTCTATATAATGAAATAGACACAGGAAACAACTCCTAACAGCTGCAAGATCAATTACCAAAGAGAATTTGCCAACAAAACAGAAATGCCTTGGGGAAGAGGGGTTGGAGTATCAATGGAAGAAATCACGTGAGCCTGTAGAGCAAATTTGTCAGGTGGAGACCAGTGGGTGAAGAGAGGTACTACTTGTGAAAGCTGGGGTCTTCAAGCAAGAGCACCCTTCCCCATCCTACTTGAGCATATTAAGACACTTTTTCAGTGTCCTAAAGGAGCTGCAAAAGGAGAGAACCAAGAGGCTTAGGAATGCAATCTGTCTTGCTAGGACACACTTTCTCAAGAGACAAACTGGGCATGGTGGCTCACACCTGTAATTCCAGCACTCTGGGAGGTTGAAGCAGATGGATTGCTTGAGCTCTGGAGTTTGAGACCAGCCTGAGCAAGAGTGAGACCCCATCTCAACTAAAAATGAAAACATAGGTATGAGAATTGCTTGAGCCCAAGAGTTTGAGGTTGCTGTGAGCTAGGATGCCATGGCACTGTACCATGGGTGATAAAATGAGACTGTCACACACACACACAAAAAAGACAAACTGTCATGTCACCTCAGTTTCTGATCAGACCCTGATCCCCAGAATTAACCTTGTTTCATCCCCAGGGAGGGGACCTGCCCTTTTAAAATCTTAAGTTTTGGGCAGTGCCTGTGGCTTGGTGGGTAGGGCACCAGTCCCATATATCGAGGGTGGGGGATTCAAAACCCACCCCGCCAAATTGCAACAAAAAATAACCAGGTGTTGTGGTGGGTGCCTGTGGTCCCAGCTACTCAGGAGGCTGAGGCAAGAGAATCACTTAAGCCCAAAGAGTTTGAGGTTGCTGTGACCTGTGTGATGCCATGGCTCTCTACCAGGGGCGATAAAGTGAGACTCCGTCTCTACAAAGAAAAAAAAAAAGCTTACGTTTCTGTTGAGTATAGTATGCTTAGCATTACACTCAACTTGTGTAGAGAGAATTTCCCTAATAGAGTATACAATCTTACTGGCCTGGAGGGCCTGTTGGTTCATAGGCAATAATAACTCTCTCCCAGCTTATGCTACTCATTTTAAGCCTTACTTCTAGCGCTTCAGTTAGGTGGGGGAACTACAGGATTCTTTAACCACAAGAATATCTGGGAATTCCAGTACCAAAGTAATCACCATGACACCTCATATTTGTTTGTTCTGGAGTCTAAGGAGCTGTGTGAGGAGAAAGATGTGCCCAAATTACCTGGCTCAATTTCTTTTCACAGACTAGAGTATATATGTATAAACCAGTATAACAAATTTGGGGCAAATCTTATTTCTGTCACTTATGAATTTTATGAAATCAGATGAGTTACTTTGCTGCTATGTCTTAGTTTTTCCTCATCTGCAAATTGTGGGTCTTGTAAAGGTTAATTATATGTAGGGCCAGGTGTGGTGGTTCAGACCTGCAATCCCAGCACTCTGGGAAGTCGAGGTAGGTAGATTGCTTGACTCAAGGATTAAAGACTATACATGAGCAAGAGTGACACCTGTTCTCTTCTAAAAAATAGAAAAACTAGGGCGGTGCCTGTGGCTCAAAGGAGTTGGGCACCACACTCCAGCCAAAAACTGAAAAAAAAAAAAAAAAAAAACTAGCACGCATTGTGGTAGGCACCTGTAGTCTCCGCTACTCAGGAGGCTGAGGCAGGAGGATTGCCTGAGCCCAGGAGTTTGAGGTTGCTGTGAGCTATGACATTAAAACCCTCTACCCAGGTGACCAAGTGAGACTCTGTCTCCAAAAAAAAAATTATTGACTTGGCTCCCATAGCACAGTGGTCACGGCGTCAGCCACATGCACCAAGGGTGGCAGGTTTGAAACCGGCTTGGGCCAGCTAAACAACTGCCAAAAATAAAAAAATTGCTGGGCGTTGTGTCAGGAGCCTGTAGTCCCAGCTACTTGGGAGCCTGAGGTAAGAGAATCACTTAAGCCCAAAGAGTTTGAGGTTGCTGTGAGCTGTGACACCATGGCACAACCACGGTTGACATAGTGAGACTCTGTCTCAAAAAAAAAAAAAATTATTAATCATAGAATAATCCAAGTAACATGCAAAGTACACTCAATGTTAGCTTCAAAAGGGAAAAGGATACAGGGAGAACCTACAGGAGATGAAGGTTATGTCCACTACAAGATTGGCCTCACTCACTTGTCATCCTTAAAGCTTGATCACTCCAGATTATCCTCCATGGCCTGATTTTGATTTTGTTAAAAGGTTTTATCTCAGGCCTTGCTGATATCTTGCTCTACCATAGTTTTCATGTCTCCTCAAAGCACTTAAAGGATGGCCTTTCAGACAGCATGAATGTATGAGATTGATAATGGACAAAGCAGGTTAGGGAAAGAGGAATGTACCCATGAGGGCAACGACTTTGTCTGCCTGCTATATACTGAGCACACAAAGATTTGAGTGCCTGGTAGCATGACTGGTGCACTACCACGTATGTTCAGCAACTTAAAGGAGTGAGAACATTTAAGTGATGGAGTTGGTAGAGAGATCATTTTTAGTGCACTAGGTAGTACAAGACAGGTACTCTGAGTAGAATACCAACAGAAATTGAATTTAGACCTAAAGTTTGAAGTTGCTGATAAAGAAGGGAAAATTCTCATAATAGTTAGCATGTATTAGGTTGAGTGCTCACTACATCCTTGGCACTGACCTATCTATTTACTACTTTATTTTTTTTTT